TACAGCAAAGAATTCACCAGGGACATTGCCAATCTCAAAGATGTAGATTGGAATGATTGTGTCTCCTCAGTGAAAGTAATTGGCCAGCCTTGGGTGGCTTATGAGCACATCAACTATACAGGCCGGTTCCTGGTACTTGAGGAGGGAGAACACAGCTTTGTTGGTAAGGAGATGAACGATAAGATCTCTTCCCTGCAGCTGATCACTGAAGATCTGCACCATCCCCAGATCACTCTCTACGAACATATCAACTATCAAGGGAAGAGCAGGGTGATCAAAGAACCAACCAACCTGGCTAGGGGACATGACAACGACATCGTATCTTCTCACAAAGTCCAGAGAGGTGCCTGGCTGCTGTGCGAACACAGTGATGGAAGTGGCCTTCGTTACATTGCGCGAGAACACGAAGTCTTCCCGAATTACAAGGCCATCAACTTCAATGACAAGCTTTCCTTTCTGCGTCCCCTCCGCCCCGGCAAGGGATGTGGCTGCTAGGCTGCAGACCCTGTGGCGCTGAGGGAAGATGCAGCCCCAGCAAGAAAATTCCAGCCCTAGATCTCTCTCGATTCAGCCGGTGCTCGTATCGCTCTTCTCAGAGACAGCGCGTGAGAGAGCTCTCTCCTGGGCTGCCCTGCAGATCTGGATTTCCCACACCCTGCTTTGCGCTCTTCTCCCTTCCCGTACATCCCCACCAATGCAAGAAATGATGGCCTTTGGTCAAATGAAAGAGATTCCAAGGCAAGAGACATGCCAGGGGTGTGTAACCTGCCGCCCCTGTGCCTGGCATTCCCATACCCTGCGCTGTCTCATGGAAAAGCATCGCGTGTTGCTTCTGCTGCTAGATGCCTAAACAAAACGTTAGTATATAACCAGTATCACTTACTTTGTCATTTGTAATTCTTTTTACAATGCACTTCCTTTACCATGGCCTCTGCCGCTTTTTTTTCTGTATCCCACTTTGTGCTTTTGCCATTAAAGAAGATCTTGAAAGCAACAACGGGTCTATTTCATGTATTGTTTGTGGTTTAATGTAGATAAATATTGCCCTTCCGTGATGAGATATCTCTGCATGTTCAGGGAATGGTTCACGCAGTCACCTGTAAACATTTGTCATGGATCTCCCCTGAAAGGTCTTATCTCTTTCTATTCTCAGTTGTCAGTAACAGTGGCTTCAGGCTTGACTCAGCTAGACCTAAGATCTTGGTGAGCATGTCAAGTAATGCTCTGATCCTGGACAAACTCTCACCTGGAGACATTACTTAATTACTACAAGATGGATTGTATCTCCACACATTGATCATACTAACGATATAGTCTTCTATGGTCCTAAATTATAGAATCAAACAGAAAATTTTGATAAATTTGAATTAATTGGTTAATCACACAACAGGAAAACCTCTCTGATCTTTTTAAACTTTTGTTATCTTGATATGGGGTGAGGAATCATTTTGAAATTATGGTGTTTCAATCAGAATGGAAAATACCCTTCTTCTAAAGTTACCCCCATTGCGATTCTACATTGTAATGGCATTTTACTGTTGTAACGGTCTCAAGAGTCACCACATGGTACGTTCTACCACAGGCCAGGCTTAAACACTAGCTCAAGGCCCTCCAACACACCAAGCAGTGCCAGGGGTCATCACTGGGACAAGCATGCCAGGAATCCTGGGGGCTCCTCTTTGTCCTTTACCAATCCATGGGTATGGCAAGCCACAAACTAGATCTTTCATAGGGCAAAGAGGCAGATGGAGGATGAAAAGGCAGGCTGCAAGAAGTGGCAAGCTCCAGGAGAAGGGATGCTGAAGCATCTGAAATTCAGTGTTTTTCAAGCCTGTCCTGAATCACAGAATGACAGAATGACAGACTCACAGAATGGTTAGAGTTGGAAGGGACCTTAGAGATCATCGAGTTCCAACCCCCTGCCATGGACAGGGACACCCTCCACCAGACCAGGTTGCTCAGGGATGGGGCATCCACAGCTTCCCCGGGCAACCTGTTCCAGTGCCTCACCACCCTCACACTATGACCTATGGTTCAAGATCGTGACTCTGTGTGTTTACTCTTTACCTCCAAAGCAGTGCATTAAAAGCCACAGGACAGAGTCAACTTCAAACTACTTGCATTTGGCATATGAACTACTTGAGGCCTTCTTACAGATATGCAATCACCAGCTGTTTCAAGAACTGGTTTGCCCTGTCCAAGTTGACCTGGGGAGCAGAGAGTTGCAGCTCTGTGTCATCCCCGTCTAACGGCACCTGCACTCCCCGAGCCATGTGCCCTGGTCTTGGCTGGGATAGAGTTGACTTTCTTACTAGGGGCTAGGATAGTGCTGTGGTTTGGATTTAGGGTGGGAATAGTGCTGATAACACACTACTGATTGAGGTTGTCGCTATGCAGTCAAGGACTTTTCTGCTTCTCACACCGCCCCTCCAGCGAGGGCTGGGAACGCACGACAAGTTGGGAGGAGACCAAAGGGATATTCCATACCATGTGATGTCGTGCTCAGGCTATAAAGCTGGGGAAAGAAGAAGGAAGGGGGAGACATCTGAAATTGTGGCGTTTGTCTTCCCAAGTAGCCATCACGTGTGATGGAGCCCTGCTTTCCTGCGGATGGCTGAACACCTGCCTGCCCATGGGAAGTGGTGAATGAATTCCTTGTTTTGCTCTGCTTGTGTGTGTGGCTTTGGCTTTACCTACTAAACCATCTTTACCCCAGCCCAAAAGTTTTTTCACTTTTCCTCTTCTGATTCTCTCCCCCATCCCAACCCGGGGGAACGAGCGAGCGGCCGCGTGGTGCTTAGTTGTCCTCTGGGGTTCAACCACCACACCACGTGTTACGGCATCTGTCACACAGCTCCGTGTTGCAATGTTTATCTGGCTGTGTGCTGAGCTCCCGTTTGCCATGATTTTATTGTATTTATCCCTAAGAACAAAGCTCAGAACGTGCTGCTCCATCATCTGCTGGGGTTTGTTCCCATCTTGAAACAAACGCTGCAGGCTATGCCGACCTCTTGTGTTCCTCTGCTGGGCTCGTGCGGGCAGGTGCAATGGTGATGGCTCAGGCTCCATGTGTCTTGGGTCACTTCTTCTTTTAAAGGGATTTCAAAATGGAATTCAAAGAACTCGGAGCATTCTCCCTACTCTGGGCTAAAATAACTTGGAAACACTGGGCACTCTCCAGGTAAAGGCAGCTGTGCCCAGAGAGAGGAGATGGTGTACAGGGAGGGGGAAAGCAAGCACTGGCACCTTCCAATGTGGTCAGTAGCAATGGTATCAGTGGGTATGTGGTATGCAGTCTTCTCAGCCTTCCCAATAAGGTAAATTAGACTCTGCAGAGCTCTCTTTGTCGCCTTTAGACCTCTTCCAGAAGGCCCAAGCACAACGTTTTGCTCAATATATAGCAAAGCCGCCAAACACCATTATGGTTTTGTTCCCCGTACTAATGCGACTCTCCAGTAGTGAAAACCTTTTGGAGCTGTAAAGCAAGTGGCAAGTGCCATCTTCTGTCCAAATCCATTTGGGGAAAACATTATTTTTGAAGTCCTATTGAACGATTCTATGATTCTATGTCTGAGGGATCCTTTTCAGCATCTCAGCACAACAATGACATTACATAGGTAATTACCGACTGGTAAGAGGAGAGTGACTATTTACGTCTCTAATTATTTTTCCTAAGGAATACATGTAATGATATTTCCTTTGTGGAACTGCCATTTCTTAAAGAAGAAAGAAGGTATTTTCTTATTTTCTTGGCATATATAGCTGAAAATTTATTTACAGCCAGGATGTCTCTGAATCAGGTAATTGTTCAAGGCGGCTTGAACACCATGTGTTTAACTAAGAGGTGATACATAAACAGACGGGACTTTCCTCTGCTTCGTTAGAAACGTCTGCAGAACAAGTTCAGACCTGTTTGGGTGGCCACAGAACATAAAACTGGGGCTTAAGGTCAGATCTCGTCTACCCAGAAAGACGGTGATTATTACACATTAACCACTTGCCTCATTTCCTAACTATGCCATATTGCATTGCTGATTAGATAACAAGGTCTTCTGAAAAATTTCCTAGAGTTAGATAACAAGGTCTTCTGAAAAATTTCCTGGAGCTGATTCCTCATACCACCTCAGATCTCAGGTCACGGCTGGGCTTGATGCATTGATGGATCATAACTTTTGACTGACAACACATGGGGACTATTCTCCAACCATAACTTTTGACTGACAACACATGGGGACTGTTATTGCTTGGTGTTTAAAGCAAGAATTCCATTTGGCCTGACTTACAGACTCTGGATCCAAATTTCATTCAGAAAATATTACATAAAAGCTGAAACATTTAAATCCCTGTGTACAATCATTAACTGCAAAAATAATATTCCTCCTCCCTTCAAACTTCTGTAACATATGCATCACATCACTGTTCTCACTTTCTGGGTTTTTTTTTCCTATTACTTGACTTCTGTAACATATGCATCACATCACTGTTCTCACTTTCTGGGTTTTTTTCCTCTTACTTACACCAAAAGTTACTGTTGGGCATTTCAGCACTGCCTGCACAGTTCTCAAACCTATACTCAGATGACCCTACAGGAGAAATTAGCCCTCAGAAGTGAATGCAGCTTAAGGCAGCACAAATTTTAATTTCCACCAGGAGTTCAGAGGCAATCTGAGGACAGACTCCACAGAGCTTCAGCAGCTGCATATACAGCAATACAATTTTTGGCTGCCCCATTGTCCAGAGGAGAAGGATCCTGCGGAAGGACTTCAATTCTAGGGTAAAGAATGGCATCCTCAGTAACACTGGTTTGGCACTGGCATGTTTGTTCAGAGGAGAATCTGTGAACCAGTTTTGAAACTCCTACTGCAAAGGAAGTACATCAGGATGGTGTAAATTCTTTTACATGCTCGTTAATTCACATTCAAATGGAGAATCATGCATTTGAGGGCAGATAGCAGCTTTCAAAATCCTAGTTAAAAGCTCTGGAATCACACAAATAATAATATCAGCGAGCAGACTGTGTCTCACAATGGAAGAAACTACGGGGCCATACCTGCAGGTGGATGATCAATACCAGGGCCCTTTGGTTCACTGTTCCAGGGTTGTGATGAAGCTCCTCTGGATCATCTGTGCGAACGAGCTGCTCTTAACCTGTAGTGGCAGATCCTTCACCCAGGCAGCTCACCATCAGAGAAGTGGAGGGCAACAAGAAGACGGGATATTCTGCTGCACGTGTCTAAATCTCTTTTTTTTTTTTTTTTTTTCTATTCTGAACAATCGATTTAACATTCTCTTGGGGAAACTCAAGCTGTTTTTCAAACACAGAATTCTCAAATTTACTGTTTGCAAACTTGCAAGCTTTCAGTCTTGCTTTCTGTCTTGCTCCTTTCATCCAGTACTGGTATTCCCCCAGCTTGACATGACCGCTGCTTTTCATCTATGTGCCCAACACTGAAAACCCATTGCAGGAAGCAGGGCTGCAGCAACTTCTTTTTCATATGCATCTTCAAACATATTTTTACCCAGCAACACAGCCACCCCACTTTCAGTTCTGTGGCTGATTCTTCCTTTAATTTCTTCTTGGTTTTCTTAGCCAGAATATTCCTGCCTCTTGTGCTGTTGTGGTTTCTTGGCAGTGCCTCATTTGACTTTGGGTTGATGATAGCAATAATATGGCTAAGCTGAAATTCTCCATCCTTGTAAAGAAAATCTCAAAGAACGCAAAGCATGAAGCTGACAAAAGCAGTGAAGAGAGACCTTTCTGCAGAGATCCGTACAGATCACCAGGAAAATAATTGTGACGTGGTGAAATGAGGGCAGCTGCAGCAGGTTATTCCTATAAGGAATTCCGAGTCTTGGAAAAAGCTTGCCTCCGTTAATTCAAATTTATCAAAATTTTCTGTTTGATTCTATAATTTAGGACCATAGAAGACTATATCGTTAGTATGATCAATGTGTGGAGATACAATCCATCTTGTAGTAATTAAGTAATGTCTCCAGGTGAGAGTTTGTCCAGGATCAGAGCATTACTTGACATGCTCACCAAGATCTTAGGTCTAGCTGAGTCAAGCCTGAAGCCACTGTTACTGACAACTGAGAATAGAAAGAGATAAGACCTTTCAGGGGAGATCCATGACAAATGTTTACAGGTGACTGCGTGAACCATTCCCTGAACATGCAGAGATATCTCATCACGGAAGGGCAATATTTATCTACATTAAACCACAAACAATACATGAAATAGACCCGTTGTTGCTTTCAAGATCTTCTTTAATGGCAAAAGCACAAAGTGGGATACAGAAAAAAAAGCGGCAGAGGCCATGGTAAAGGAAGTGCATTGTAAAAAGAATTACAAATGACAAAGTAAGTGATACTGGTTATATACTAGCGTTTTGTTTAGGCATCTAGCAGCAGAAGCAACACGCGATGCTTTTCCATGAGACAGCGCAGGGTATGGGAATGCCAGGGGCAGGGGCGGCTGGAATTTTCTTGCTGGGGCTGCATCTTCCCTCAGCGCTCAGCTTCCCTCAGGGTCTGCAGCCTAAGAGCCCTATGCCTTGCCGGGGCGGAGGGGACGCAGAAAGGAAAGCTTGTCATTGAATTTGATGGTCGTGTAATTCGGGAGGTTTTCAACAAATGACAAAGTAAGTGATACTGGTTATATACTAGCGTTTTGTTTAGGCATCTAGCAGCAGAAGCAACACGCGATGCTTTTCCATGAGACAGCGCAGGGTATGGGAATGCCAGGGGCAGGGGCGGTTGCCCGGGGAAGCTGTGGATGCCCCATCCCTGAGCAACCTGGTCTGGTGGAGGGTGTCCCTGTCCATGGCAGGGGGTTGGAACTCGATGATCTCTAAGGTCCCTTCCAACTCTAACCATTCTGTGAGTCTGTCATTGTGTGATACATTCTCCAGGCTGCTCTGGGGCTTGAAAAACACTGAATTTCAGATGCTTCAGCATCCCTTCTCCTGGAGTTTACCACTTCTTGCAGCCTGCCTTTTCATCCTCCATCTGCCTCTTTGCCCTATGAAAGATCTAGTTTGTGGCTTGCCATACCCATGGATTGGTAAAGGACAAAGAGGAGCCCCATATCAAGATAACAAAAGTTTAAAAGGATCAGACAGGTTTTCCTGTTGTGTGATCAACCAATCAATTCAATGTGTCAAAATTTTCTGTTTGATTCTATAATTTAGGGCCGTAGAAGACTATATCATTAGTATGATCAATGTGTTGAGATACAATCAATCTTGTAATAATCAAGTAAAAACAAAAGTTTAAAAAGATCAGAGAGGTTTTCCTGTTGTGTGATTAACCAATTAATTCAAATTTATCAAAATTTTCTGTTTGATTCTATAATTTAGGACCATAGAAGACTATATCGTTAGTATGATCAATGTGTGGAGATACAATCCATCTTGTAGTAATTAAGTAATGTCTCCAGGTGAGAGTTTGTCCAGGATCACAGCATTACTTGACATGCTCACCAAGATCTTAGGTCTAGCTGAGTCAAGCCTGAAGCCACTGTTACTGACAACTGAGAATAGAAAGAGATAAGACCTTTCAGGGGAGATCCATGACAAATGTTTACAGGTGACTGCGTGAACCATTCCCTGAACATGCAGAGATATCTCATCACGGAAGGGCAATATTTATCTACATTAAACCACAAACAATACATGAAATAGACCCGTTGTTGCTTTCAAGATCTTCTTTAATGGCAAAAGCACAAAGTGGGATACAGAAAAAAAAGCGGCAGAGGCCATGGTAAAGGAAGTGCATTGTAAAAAGAATTACAAATGACAAAGTAAGTGATACTGGTTATATACTAGCGTTTTGTTTAGGCATCTAGCAGCAGAAGCAACACGCGATGCTTTTCCATGAGACAGCGCAGGGTATGGGAATGCCAGGGGCAGGGGCGGCTGGAATTTTCTTGCTGGGGCTGCATCTTCCCTCAGCGCTCAGCTTCCCTCAGGGTCTGCAGCCTAAGAGCCCTATGCCTTGCCGGGGCGGAGGGGACGCAGAAAGGAAAGCTTGTCATTGAATTTGATGGTCGTGTAATTCGGGAGGTTTTCATGTTCTCGCGCAATGTAACGAAGGCCACTTCCATCACTGTGTTCGCACAGCAGCCAGGCACCTCTCTGGACTTTGTGAGAAGATATGGTGTCGTTGTCACGTCCCCTAGCCAGGTTGGTTGCTTCTCTTATCACCCTGCTCTTCCCTTGATAGTTGATATGTTCGTAGAGAGTGATCTGGGGATGGTGCAGATCTTCAGTGATCAGCCGCAGGGAAGAGATCTTATCGTTCATCTCCTTACCAACAAAGCTGTGTTCTCCCTCCTCAAGTACCAGGAACCGGCCTGTATAGTTGACGTGCTCATAAGCCACCCAGGGCTGGCCAATTACTTTCACAGAGGAGACAACATCATTCCAACCTACATCTTTGAGATTGGCAATGCTCCTGGTGAATTCTTTGCTTAAGCCCTGGAAGTTGCCATGCTCGTAAATGGTGATTTTTCCCATCTCAGTAGGACTTCTGTAGTTTGGATCCCTTGCTGTAGGAGCTGGATGACAGCCTTCAGGAAAGGAAAACAGAAAATAAGCAATGCTTGTGAGAAGCCTTTTCCCATCAGACACAAAATGCTGGAGGGGGGCGGGGGATGAAGGAAAAAAGGTGAAGTACAACACTTCTTGCAGAGGATAAGTATAGCAGCAGCTGGACTAGAATGATGGAATGACATAGAAATTTGCATTTGGAAGAAAAAAGTAAAATGAGATATATACACCCAAACCGTCCAGTTTGATTTAGTTGTGTTTGTTAGTTTATGTATATGTGCAAGGGACATCTGAGCATTTAGTTTAACATCTTACTGGTATGGCTTAAATAAGAATGAAATAAAATACATAACGTGTGATAAATCTTTCAGTTGATAATTGACACTGCATTTGAGAATTACTTTAGAAATTGGCGTTTATTGTTTGGACTAGATTTCATGATCCACATAATATTACAAGTAAAGTGGTAGCGAGACATTCAATTAATTTCTAAATGAAAGCACATTTTGTACTGTAAATAGGAAAACATCTACTCTGTTAAGGTGAGAACTGAACTTCTACGCTCACTGAAATACCTTATTTCTCTTTTCATATGAAATTCTACTGAAATCAAGAGATTCCTGCTCTTGACACAAGCTAGAGAAGCAATGAAGTTCAAAGCAGCAGCTCTTGGAGTCAGACTAAGGTTCAGGTTGTGAATGTCTTTTTGTAGCACTGTTACAAACACTCCTATCTAATTCCACATGAAGTTGTCTGGAAACAGACAAAGAATCACAGCATTTCTTAGTAAGAGCTGCAGGAAAAGAAACGAGTGGCCAGTTAAGATAACAGCTCCCTTTCTAAATCACGGAACAGTCATCAAAGCAAAGTTTTGGGAGGGAAAAAAGCAGCTACTCCAGTTGATTCTGGGAAGGGATGGGAGAAGATCAGCTCAGCCCAAGTAAGCTGAAAAGTCAGACTACAATTGCAAGACCTGAGCAACATAATCAACATTGGAAAAAAAATCAAGCTTGAATTTCACTTTAAAAAACCCCTTTGCCCTTGGATTAAAAACATTTAAGCATTTATTTTTTTTTACAGTTGTAATTGAATTTATGGAGGCTGTGGCTACCCAAACCTTAATATATCAATCATTCAGCACTCATATAAAGACCCTCTGTCTGCTGCTTGGGGCTGCCCAAGGAGCCGTTGAAAGTTTCCCTGTAAAAATGTGTGCATCTCACCTTGATGTCGGCGCCTTGGCTGGGAGAGCTGATGGCACTTCCTCCAGTCCAGTGCTGCTCTTTGCAAGAGGTGCCTCGCTTTTATAGCTTGCACCGGCGCCTTGTGAAACACCCCATTCCACAGAACTGGGAAGTGGCTGATGTTACCCTCAGATGTCAAAAACTGCTGACGACTTTTTTTCAATTTTGATCTTTCCATAACCTGTAACCCTCATGACCCTTGTTCCAAAGCCCATTGTAGAAGCAAACATCTTGATAAATCTTAGAGCTTTGGTTCTTGTTTGTCTTTATTCTCCATAAAACCATCTGAATCCCAGTAATAAAACCGTAACAAAGTATTTTGTGATGCATGGGCTGTTGAATTTTTTTTGCTTGCCTGGGAACCACATTTAATACCCAAAGGTTTCTATGTGAGAGAGATATTGAGGTGACAGAGGTGGCACTGAAGTAGCTTTTTTATTATTATATATTTTACTTTCCTCTCTCTCACCTAGGTAGCCATTTGAGCAGCAACAGGGATGCAGCGCTAGTAAAGCATGTCAAGCATCTATACTAGTGCACGTAGCATGGGCAACAAACAGGATGAGCTAGAAGCCATTGTGCAGCAGGACAGCTATGACATAGTTGCCATTACGGAAACATGGTGGGATGATGGTCATGACTGGAATGCTGCAATGAGTGGGTACCAGCAGGAAATAAAGCAGCTTGGAGATAGAATCATAGAATCATCTAGGTTGGAAGGGACTTTCAAGATCAGCTAGTCCAACCATCAACCCAACTCTGACAAAAACCATCACTAAACCATATCCCCCAGGACCATGTCAACCCATCTTTGGAACATCTCCAGGGGTGGTGCCTCAACCACTTCCCTGGGCAGCCCATTCCAATGCTTGATAACGCTTTCTGTGTAAAAATTTTTCCTAATATCCTGAATCTGATCTGGAACTGCTATGTATTCCTTCTCATTGCAGTGATATTCAGGCCCCAGGACAACACAGCCATGAATCATCCATATCAGCAGATGGAATGAGTGGTTATGTACACTACCAGACCTCATAAATCCAACAGAGTGATAAATGAGGTGGGAAAACCAAGTCAGATGTCTTTGAAAAGGCTGGGAACAACCTCCCTTTGGGTATGAGTGAAGCCACAGCACACCATCCAGGCTCTCCTCTGCAAGGAATCACAACAAGCAGATATACCAGAGGAGAATCTCCCGCATTGTTTAAGAGATGACCACCGATAGCTGTTCCCTGGACACCCTGCCTCAGGAGGGAGGAGACAGGGAGGGGAAGCAGAATGAGAGCATCACTATCAAAGAGGAAGAGATCAGTGACCTGCTAAGGCGCTTGGATGCACACAAGTCTATGGGACTGGATGGGCAACACCCAAGAGTGCTGAAAGAGTTGGCAGACGTGCTCGCCAAACCGCTTTCCATCATTTACAGGAAGTCATGGCTGACTGGGGAGGTCCCAATGGACTGGAGGGCGGCAAATGTAACACCCATCTACAAGAAGGGCAAAAAGGAGGATCCAGGAAACTATAGACCATCAAAACGCACATAATGGGCAACCAGGGGATCAGGCCTAGTCAGCATGGGTTTATGGAAGGCAGGTCCTGACAAACAAACCTGATCTCCTTGTATGACAAGATAACCAGATTATTGGACGAGGGAAAGGCTGTTGATGTTGTATACCTGGATTTTCGAAAAGCATTCAATACTGTCCCCCATAAAAATCTGGTGGAAAAACTGGCTTCACACGGCCTGGACGAGCATACGACCTGCTGGATCAAGCACTGGCTGACCGGAAGGTCCCAAAGAGTGGTGCTCAATGGATTCAAATCCAGCTGGCGGCCAGTCACAAGTGGTGTGCCTCAGGGCTCAGTGTTAGGACCATTTCTGTTTAACGTCTTTATTGACAATCTTGACAAGGACATAGGGTGTATCATCAGCAAGTTCACAGATGACATCAAGTTAAGAAGGGGTGTTGATTCCCAGGAGGATAGGGAAGCCCTACAGAGGGACCTAGATAGATTGGATCATTGGGCCAATATCAATGGCATGAGTTTCAACAAGGGCAAGTGCCAGGTTCTGCACTTGGGCCACAATAACCCCATGCAGCGCTACAGGCTGGGGGAAGTGTGGCTGGAGCTGCCTGGAGGAAAGAGACCTGGGGGTTCTAATTGACAAACGGCTGAATATGAGCCGGCCGTGTGCCCAGGTGGCCAAGAAAGCCAATGGCATTCTGGCTTGTATTAGAAATACCGTGACCAGCAGAAGTAGGGAGGTGATTGTCCCCCTGTACTCAGCACTGGTGAGGCCACACCTTGAGTATTGTGTCCAGTTTTGGGCACCTCAATACAAGAGAGATATCGAGGTGCTGG